TCTCTCTCTCTCTCTCTCTCTCTCTCTCTCTCTCTCTCTCTCTCTCTCTCTCTCTCTCTCTCTCTCTTTCTTGAATGATGATGCGTCTGAATGATTGTCCCGCTCTTGAAAGGAAATGAGTCGGCATTCTGTATGAAAGAAATTCTTCCGAAACTCTTTCATTAGTTTCCTGGGTAATCCTCCTACGCAAGGACCCTGTCTTCTTGTCTTGTGAACGGTGGATGCGTGTGTACTGAGTAATACGATCCATCTTTTCCTGTGCATGTCTCACTTTCGCACCTTCCACAGTGAATGCATGTATGGAATGTGTGACTCTTTTGTTGATTAGACGATTGTCGTCTGGATTTTGTTCGAGAATGCAAGAGTGTTTAGATCTGTAGCTATGTTTGCACTGCGCATGTCATCTGCCTTATGCTGCACGACATCAGCAACTGAGACACGAGGCGACCCTGAGAAACAAGGCGCCCAGGGACCAACGTTGTGTTGAACTGATTGGACCCGTAGCCATATGCGTGATCAAGTTGATCTGTGTTTGCTCTCTCTCTCTTATGTCAAAAAGATTGGTTGGGGGACGTGCGAATCGCTTGTGTTCTTACTGACGTCTCAGGATATTTTGTGATTGATTGACATGTGGACTGACAAGTACCCTTCGATTGGGCGCCAGCCTCCCGTATCTCCCATCCCAACGCGACCTTTTCCTTACAGTGAGGAAATGACACGTGTATGTGAGTGGGACGTACGAGAAGCCGTTGCACAAATCGGCGGGCAGTATTACTTCCCTTCGGCCAACCGCTGTTCTGGATTCGTAGAAGCCGGGTTTGTTATTATCGATACGCACTTCCCACCTTACTCGGTATTGTTGCCATTTAACGAGTTGATCGTCATTCCGTGGACGGTCGTAGAACCCCACTGACCTCGCACTCTGTGCACCGAATGTCAGCGTTTTGAGCGCTACGAGTCCAAGGGTTTTCACTACCGTGTGCGGAGCGAAGACGAGCATAAAGAAAGAGTCACGCGGCTGAGACCCTCCACGTCAGACTCGGAACTAACCAGCGAACGACGACGAGACTTGATACGAAAACGAGACACGCAAAGCGTGCCCAAGCCTTTCTGTTCTAAGCGACGGGCTGTAGCCCGGTGGGAGGCATGACAATACTTTTTGGATTGAATTTGGATTTTTTCCTCTCTTCCCGCCTAGCCCGCGCGCGCATCCTGCGACGCGCGAAAACGATCGACTTGCTCCATCGGACCAACATGGGGGATTTCAGTTTCGTCTGTGTCCCCACACTCAATTTCCAAAAATCCTTGGCACACCCCATCTTGCTGTTTTTCCGGGCCTCCTTTCCGCACAGCTAACACTCCGAACGGAAGACAGCACAGGGTGTGAGGTTGCGCGTCACAAGTCTTGGCAGACCAGAGTATTTCCTCCGAAATTTTGTCAATGTGCACTTACCCTAAACTAGCTCGTTCCATTCCTCCAGTCTATAAAAGTGCTCTGTGTTGGCCTCATTGCAGAACCAGGTTCCCGCCTTCGGAACATACATCGGGCTCAGTATGGTCTTCCAAGAATCTAGGATTGCTCGGCCTGTACTACTGATGACCTTGCATTCAGACAGCCCTGAGGTGACGCACCGAGTGATACTCCGGATTCGCATGAGTCTTGGCAGACCAGAGTATTTCCTTCGGAATTCCGTCAATGTGCACTTACCCTGAACTAGCTTGTCGCATTCCTCCAGTCTATAGAAGTGCTCTGTGTCGGCCTCATTACAGAACCAGGTTCCCGCCTTCGGAACATACACCGGGCTCAGTATGAGGGACCCAAATAGGTTTGAGTTGCCCTTGGGTATCGAGAAGGATAGACGCATTTCTTCTTAGGAGGTGGTTCATTCTGCAATCGGGAGTCTTTTAGTTCTTGACCAATGTAACTACCCCTGCATTATCCCCAACAATCTTAACCGCAACATCCTTGGATGAAAGGTTGAAATGTTTGCGGATGAAGGATAGAGTGGACAGAACCCCGAATAATTCCCTGTGCGTACTAGAAGTTGACAGTCAATTATCAGGAAGAGAAAAACTTAATTTTTCTTCCTTTCCTTGATTGTGATAGACGATTGCTCCAATGGCATGATCCGAGGTGTCAGTTTGAATTGTGATTTCGATAGGTTTGATCTTCCAACTTCTTCCTGGAAGTTGGAGAATGTTAGTCGACCACCAATTGAGGTCATCTTTTGCTTCGTCTGAGAGGGGAATTAGGTCGTCCCATGCATTGGGATTGATGGCTTGGTGAAGATTGAAGCAAAAGGTTATTGCAGGGTGGAAGGCATTGGCGAGTGCAACCAATTTTCCAGCAATAGAAGAGATTTCCCTGGTTGAAACTGCGGGCTTTGATAACAGTAGTTGTATGGTCCTGCAAATTCTGAGGGCCTTCTCTTTCGGAATTGATGTTAGCTTAAGGTGAGAATCGATCTTGAAGCCAAGAAACTTTACGCATTGAGAAGAGAGAAAGAGCATTTGTTTAGACTAAAAAATAAACCTAGTTTCTGAAAGAGGCAGGTAAGGATGAAGGATGACAGGAGACTGCAAAGATAAGTCCTTTGAACCAAGAGCGAGTCGTCAATGTAGGAGAAAATGCAGATGGATCTCAACATGAGGGTTGTCATGAGTTCTTGCATTACAGTGGTGAAAATCCAACAAGCTGAAGAGATTCCAAAGAAAAGAGTAGTGAAATGGAAGACCTTATTCTTCCATTCGAAAGCCAGGTAGTCCCTGAACTTCTC